TGATACAGTGACCAAAGTATTTGAACAGATGGGAAAAAGAGAAAGAGGCAGAAGAATAAGCTGTGAAACCTGCGAAGCAGAGAGATGACGAGCAAAGCTTATTGGGGTGCAAAGACCCATTTCGCGGTTGATGATCTCTGCAAAACCATGTTTGACTCTCTTCAAACTTGTCGCCTCCATGTTTCAATTCAACTTCACGGTTTACAGTTCATTTTAGTTGCGGGTTCTTGCTTGGTGGTGTGGCTTACTAAAATTGTGCACCCTTGTGTAGAAAGCGCGACGAATACGCGGCATTGTCCTAGTCGGGGTCGGGCCAAAACCCGGTTCTAAAATTTTATTAAATCAAGACCCATCAAAATTCAAATTCAATACCTATTTTTATGTCAGAACCCACCAAAATATCGAGTGGACTGGGCTCAATACGGGTTGTTTTTGGATGAAAAATAGAAATTAAAAACATGTTCAACAATAATTACTATTATTATTTTTAAATAATTTAACTTTTTTTAATTAGACTCTTAAACTCAAATATTAGAATCTCCATCTAAATTTTAATATCTTACATTACATATAATATATATTCAAATATAAATACGAGAATTATGCTTTCCATATATATTTAAAACAGCTATATGATAAATTATTAATACATTTGTGTATAATATACGTAGATGAAAATAGAGTAACTACTAGCTAGGCGGCAAAATTTATGCAGACAGCTCTATCAAAAGTAGGTAGAAGACTCAATTATATAAGTCCCATCTCATTAAGCATCAAACCAAAGGCTCTCTCGGTCTTAGAAGTCATAACACTTTGGTAGATGGTCCACACTAAGCAATTATTTTTTTACAAAGTAATATCTTTTATAAATATTCTCAAACTAAATCATTTATTCATCCTGCTGCAATTATTGGTGTTCAAACATAAGACCTTTTGAAACAATAATAATTCATTTAATCATTGAGATAGTTCGTGTACATTGAGCAATTTCACTCTCACTTGATAAAAATGAAAATTTATAATGGATGTAGAGATTCTTGACAGTGTAATTAAATTAAAATTTTACGAATTTAAAATTTAATATATTTTTTATAAATTTAATTTATATTTATAGATTTAGTTAATATAAAAAAATTTACTTGTACTTTTTTTATTTAAATTAAAATAGAATTTTCATTATTCACGATCTAGTTTGATTAATATATAGTCATTTGTAGTAATGTGTTCAAAGAGGTAAATACATAAATTTCCGGCAACCAACATGAAAAATTAGCTAGTCAAACTCTAGTCTACGGTTTTAGACTGCACCAACCACCTGCTTGATGTAATGCTTGACCGTTGGCAACTTACCCTAAATTCAAGATTGCTTTGTAGTCCACCCCACTTGTGATCACCCAACTTTATATCACAAAAAAAAATATTTACTTTTTATTATTTGGTCATTAATAAGCTAGACCTTAGCATAGGTACTTAGAATGTTTAATTTGGAGCGTGAGAGTACTTGGGCCAAAATGCCGACACTCTATCGATTTCATTCAACTAATTTCGGCCGAACCATTGCGCCCACACTAATTACCACAGGTGACACCGCCCATCTCCATGGCTCACATCACAAAGGATGGCCTTTGGATCTACAACTTCAGCGTGATTAAATCATGTGCCAACTCGATAGAATCTACCATACATCCACGCCCAGTAAATTCAGCATTGACCTTCTCCAAATTTCAAATATATATGAATTATGAACGAGGCAAAAGTCTTTCAACGCAATATTATTATCTCACTCTTAAAAGACATACATGATAAGATGTAAATATGAGATATAATATTAATTTTTCTCAATTTTTTTAATAATCTATGATGTTTATAAGATATTATCGTTTCAGAATTTTCTTAATTAATTGATAACGTACACACCCTATATACGTAACAATTCAAATTCAAAATTTGTAGAGATAATAATATTCTTTTTTATCACTCAAATTAATAGATAGATTGGCAACGTATACCGTTTGGTTTTATTGATTTGGTAAGATTGACTCGAAAATAGTGATTGTGGGAACGGTTTAGGTGCATGCACCTGCCATCTTTGGAAAGCTACCAAAACAACTCACGTACTACATGCGTCACGAATTGGGGATGTGATTGGTTTTGTTGTTTCATGGAGCGTTAGAACAGAATACGGTACCAATTATTTGATAACGGACGTTTGTTTCTCTATTCCGTTATGCGAACCTCTCTGTCCTTATCCGTAACAGAGATACAAAAATCGGAAGTCCGTTACCAACCGTTATCGTGACGTCATCGTGCTCCTACGACCGTCCACTGTCCTCTCGTTCCTCGCGTGATGCTCTAATCCTCTTTCTTCTAGTATGGGTTGCTCGAGAGATACGGAAAGGGGGGTGGAACAATGGGGTTGTTCGATAATGATGACGTTCTTGCTTTGTTAGAGTTAAGCCTGCTTTTTCTGACATATATTTTGTCTCTTAGTTGCATTATATCTGCCACGTGTTCGGTTTTACTAATCTGAATGTTCTATCCCAAGGTGTCTTTCCTTTTCTTTCTTTTGCTCTCTGGTTTAAGTTAGGGTTGAGCAAAAATAGGGTTTAATTTGATTTTATTCGATAAATTAAATTCATCTAACTACAATCAAAACTAGTTATTACTATAATGTACATACAAACGAATTTATAATTAATCCCAAACTGGTTTAATAGGTTACGAGTGGAATCATACTTAGTGATTTAGAACTTATAATCCTAAAAAGTTGAGAGAATAAAAATAAACAACTTGAGAGACTGACCAAATATATTTGTTTTGTTTTATTTTAGTTTTGATTAATTTAGGGGATTACAAGTGGTAATATTTGTTCTAAAAACTCTCAATCATTTGATAACAAATTTTTAAATACCATATGATCGTTAGTACTTAAACTTGAGGACCTACTAAGATGATAATCATCAATTTTAACTACTGAGGTTGTTTGATTCGCACTGCTTGCTATTTTAAATCATATTAACGAATTATTTTTAGAATACGAGTTATACCTGCCAACCCTAGATATTTAATGCTCTAAGAAATCATCTCCTAAACGGAAGGTATAACACATGTAATTTTATAAAATGCGAAATTTGTGATATTTTATTATGGTCGATAAATGTGAAGTTAGTCATAAAGATTCGCTGGAGTGGGAATGCAGATTAGTGGATTCTTTTCGTAACTCAATACGGCACACTTTTCTATTCAACTTTCACTTTTGTTTTCTTTAAATGAAAATGTTTTTTTTAATTAATTTAATGAGTTCTTTAACTGTCATAAGATTTGACCAGTCAACTAACGTGATCGATTTCATATGAGCGTCAAATTGCAATTATCCAGTTGGTCTCACCACATAGTTTCCACAAGGATCTCAAATTAGAAGGGTGATTTCAAATCTAGTCCCTCAACTGCTTTTTGATTTAGTCCTTTAGTCTCCATACTTTAATTTGATATAATTTTGTTAATATCATTTGTCAATCCAAAACAGTCTAATAGTATTAACTATTTCAATTAAAATGCTGACGCAAATTTCCCCCTAAAAACACTCTCATTTCATCATATTAATATATTTTTATTATAAGTAATGCTCTTTTATGTTTGCAGAGTTTTAATGTATATCAATTAATTAAAAAAAATTTAAATAAATAATAATTTATAATCACTTTAATCGACTACTAAATATAATCTATCCATGTTTACATTATTCATTCTAAATTTGTACTTCAACTTTTAAAACTATAGAGGACCAATTTTTTACATAGGATCCAGGAAGGATATAATCAGAGTTGTAGTGATCATCAATCATTGTTTTGTTTAATGTTTATTATGTTTATATGAGAGATGATGCATGACATGTTAGGACTATAGATGGACCTAGATAAATTTTTTAAAACATAGTCTAAAATTTTATAACTTATTTTCTACACAATTTTATAAATCTATCTTTTAACATAAATTTTTATGTCTGTTCGTGATATTGACCTATACATAGTAACAAATAATACTCATACTAAGAGTTAGCCAAATCAAGGTTTTAGCCATTTGAGAAAAAAAATCTTAATTTATTTATGATTGAATCATTATCATTTTCAGTGGATTGCATTTGGATTACAAACTTCACTTTTTTCGTTGTGGATTTTCTTTAGGATATAAAATCCATCTTTTTAATCATTCGTTCTCATTTTTTAATCTCTTTTGCATGCTTTAGTTTTTTAAAATATAATGTTTATTATATTAACATATAATCTAATAAATTTATAACAAATCAAATAACTTCAATAATTAAAGAATATTGTTATTTATTGAAATATCGAGTTTTGATTACGACATCTATAAAGATATTTTAAATGTTATTTGTGAAATTATTGAAATTTCTTTTATCAAATACTCTCTCATTATCACCTAAATTAATTAAAGATAATAATTTTATAAAATGTTGCGTTTTCCCCCCGTGATGTTATGGAAACACGAGGTTTATGCTTTTACCGTTTCCATCATTTCTTCTTTTTGGAGTACTGAGTGGACCGGAGTGGATATGGGAACGATCCTCTGTGTGTGATGCATGCATTTACAGATCAAGCCCCCACAAAGGCCGGCGATGGGTTGTGGTGGTGACGGTGGACGTGTGGGTTCCACATCTTATTCCTCCTCTGGACCCCACGCCGTGTATAGTTGCATACAACCCAGAAGCTAGGGCCCGACAATTAGTAGTCTGGTAGTAACTAAAGCTAAGCTAAACTAACATTATTTTTCCTTCTTTCTTTCTTTCCGCAGATAAATATAAGTTATGAACGCTTTCTGTGCGTGCAAGCCAATCACAATCATCATCATCATATATGTATATTATATAAAAAATTGAAAAATAATTAATTTATTTTTATTTATCCTCTTTGGGGTTGTGGGAATGTCTTTGCTTTATATATATATATTAAGGGGGTGGGGGGAAGGGGTACCCTTCTCTTCACTTTCACTTTGATTTGCATGATTTAGAGTTTTTAAAGAACACAAAATCACCTGTTTTCTTCTTCTGTTCTTGTCAGATCTGTTTGTTGCATGGATGGATCCTTCAAGCAGACAATATCAGGTAACTAAATATGCACATATATGATCACAGTGTATATATACATGTCTGTGTGTTATGATGAACCTTTCGTCGGTCTTTTCATTTTGTTATTTATTTATTTATTGTTGCTTGAATATTTAAAAGAGACGGTTCTTTTAATTTTATGTATATGTATTTAATTTCATGGTTCTTCTACATATATTATAGCATAGGATTAGGGTTTGCCACCGGTCTCCTACCGATTCGAATTATTGGCGAGACTCGAATTTTGATATTTGTCATCGGGTTTTCAGGAGATGTCTAACCCTTCAATGGCAAACATGGTGGTTACCACAAAAGGAAATGAACAACAAGAGAGGAGACCAAGGCCACAACCGGATCAAGCTCTCAAGTGTCCAAGATGTGATTCCACCAACACCAAGTTCTGTTATTACAACAACTACAACCTGTCTCAGCCAAGGTACTTTTGCAAGTCATGTAGGAGATATTGGACCAAAGGTGGAACACCGAGGAACGTTCCGGTCGGTGGAGGCTGTCGGAAAAACCGAAGATCGTCGTCATCAAAGAGGACCCGAGATCAACCATTAACACCCAACACCACCCTCCCACCTTTGACCTATGACACAAATGACCTCAGCTTAGCCTTTACCAGGCTCCAAAACCAAGCCAATGTGAACTTAGGGTTTGATGCTAATGAACTTTCCATGCTTGGAAACCCTAGGGACCTCGTCTTCACCGCGAAACAGAACGATTTTCAAGGCTTTAATAACTACGTGAGCTTGGGGGAGGTCGACAATGGCGATGGAACTGTGTCCGGTGTTAGTAATGGCATGATGACGGTGTTGCCGTATAACAACGACGACGACGACAATGCTGCAACAACAACGACATCGGATGTGACGGTCGCGACAATGAAACAAGAATTTTTTAATAACGGTGAACACAATGAGGAGCGGTCCGCGTTATGGGATCTGCCATGGCAACTCAGTGGTGGCCATGGGAGTTACAACATGGCTGAGCTTGACTCGGGAAGAGAAAGCTGGGGTGGACTCAGTTCATCTTGGCATGGACTCCTTAATAGCCCTCTATTGTAGAAACAGTGGAATGCTTTTGTTTTACTCTTTTTTTGTTTATTTTTATTTAATATATGTTGGATTTAGTTTGAATTAATATACTAATTTAATACAGTAGTACTACCAGTATTGGGTCCATTTAACTCGTACGATTTGATATTTCATGATCTCAATTAAAAAATTTAAAAATGACCATTTAAGTCAATATCAAAAATTTATTCCCTATAAGAATTTTGCTCTCTACAGTTTTCTTTTCCATATTGTAGTAATAATATTTTTTTAAAAATGAGCGTCGTTTAAATTAAATTCCAAATTTTAAATAGTAAAATACTAAAAATGTCAAAATATAAATAAACAATCAAATATCTTTTGAGAACAATTTGTCTGCAGTTTTTATGGAGAATTAACGAGTCCAAACTTCAGGCCCAAAAATAATGAAATACAATGTAAACAAGGCCTACGTAACTGAGAAAACAGTACAGTTAATTCGCCCATTTTTTAAACTTTTTAATTCGAATTCAAATTGAAATTACTTACACAGTATGAAACTTTTTAGTTTTACACACATTTAGGACCATTGAATAAATGAAAATAGATGACTGAGATTAATTAACTCCTTGTTTTTTTCCTCAATAAACATCTTCTCATTTCCTACCGTTAATTTTAATCATCTATTTTCTCTCGTCCAATGATTTTAAATTAATATCCAATAACACATTGAGAAAAGTATTATTAGTCATTGTGTAATGAGATCCTATCCATGTATATATATATGTTTATGTAAAGAGAGAGGTAACTGTTTATGTAGGATCATGTTAAATCATAGATTTCTTTTGTCCTAAATTTGATTCTAGTTCCATCCCAACTCTAATAATCTCTTTCACAAATTTTGCCCAGACCTAATTCGAATCTATTTTTTTAATTAACACAATGTCGTATGTGTGAAAAGTTTGACCCTAAAACAATTAGCTAAAAGCAAGACTTTTCCTCAAAGGTAAAATCACAGGCTCCTTTTCAATAGAAATCGGTCAAGCTAAACCTAACTCAACTATGGGAATCCAGACTTTCTAGAGGGTTACATTTGGTCAATTATAGAGGGTTTTTTTTGGGCCTAATAAGATAAACGGGTAAACTACATGACAATTAAAAGTTTATTTTGAGATTTATGATATTTTTTAAAATGTTTATATAATTCATCATGTCGAGACGACGGATTTTAATAAAATAATATTTTTTTATTCAAACTTATCACCTCGACGTGTCAAGTTATAAATATTTGTTCCAATAAAAAAATAATTTTTTATTCAAATGTCACCTCGAAGTGATGAATTACAATAAAATCTAGTTTTTATTAAAAATTATCACATCAAGGTAAAAATTTGAAGAAAAAATATTTTTTTTATTAAAATTTATCACCTCAACGTGACGAGTTCCATACACTGTAAAAAATGTCGCATATCCCAAAATAAAAGTGTCCGTCCTATTTTATATTTTTTTGGGTTATCATATTGGGCCAAAAAAACCCAATTATAGACCTTCATTGGCCTCTTATGAAAGAATCGAATCAGATTAATTAATTAAATTTAAATTTTTATTAGGTAATTAGTTAATTTAATGTATTTAGATATTTATACGAAACATTCTCTCTAATTATAAAAACATGAAATATATACGAACTATGAATGTACTCGTATTCAACATTCCGAATATGTGATAGGATTTTTTCAAAATATGAATTTATTCTTTAAAAAATAAACATGGCCGTACAATTATCATTTATATCCAACATTCTCAATAATATAGGTCTAGTTATGTTTTTTTTATCATTTTATAAATATAAAAAATTAGTCTATTCACTTAAATATAGCCTAATTGTTATAAGCATGTGGATTTGGTTAATTATTTTTATATAATTACTAAACTGTTGATTTTTTTTTTGTATAAATTGTCGAACTATGATTTTTAGAATATTCGACAATACTAAACAATTGAATTATCTTCACATATTTTTTATAAGATACGAGGATGAAATTCTAATTAATTTATATATAAGGACTAATCTATCAGTTTTCATACAATAGAATTAGGAAGTCGTTTTCAGAATTACAAGGCAATAAAGGTCATAAGTAGGTTGCTTTTTTTCCTCATTTGGGGGGTACATTATCTTTGACCTTGTACTTAAACTATTTGCCCATTAAACTATTAAATTTTAAAAAGTCCAACCCTCGTAATTTAATACAATGCCCGTCACTAGGGGGTACGACTTCTCAACCCCTATAATTATTTTCCCTTTTTTTCTTCTTCCAATTAGGATTGTTAAAATATTTAGGGGTAAGGAACACACATCGTCATTCGATTATAGTCATAAAATAACCCTTTGACTATATGATGTTTCTTTATTAAGTCTTCTTATTATTAAAAGTTACAAAATAGTCACTCGATTATTTATTATATTCTAAATTCATATTTTTCCGTTAAAAAATTGACAGCAGCCTGAGATGAATATTAATATGTTGTCTGAGATACGATAAAATATGATCATAGACTCTCAAACGACTATCATATCTCAAACATTATATTAACATCTAGCTCATTAATTTTTTTAACGAAAAAGGAGAGTTTGGAATATAATGAATAGTCGAGTGATCATTTTTTAACTTTTAATAGTCGAAGGACTCAACAAAGCAACGTCCTATAGTCGAAGGATCATTTTGTAACTTTTAATAGTCATATGACTCAATAAAACTGTGTCATGTAGTCAGTATATCAGTTGTGTGCTTTAACCAATATTTAAATTGGAGTTATAGGATCAAATTTTATAGAATTATTTTCCTAATTGGATTGGATAGAATTATAAAAAAGATAGGTTTACCCCTTCTTTAATTTCTCTTTTAGTATAAGTATAACCGTCAATAATCAAATCATCAACCGACTAATTTAATTTGACTAACGGAAAAGCTCGTTATGAAATTTTCATTCCAATCCAATTCTTTAATTTTTTTATATTCAGTTTGTACAACTCAACCATAAGACCAGTCGATTCCAAATTTAACCAATTAAATAGATTGTTCCGGTTTTTACAACGTTTAAATGAAATAATCATGTAAATAAATTGAATTAGACTTGGTCGAATTCCCATAATGTTGTATTTTTAGCTAACAATATTTCAAAGACAAACTAGTGGGGAAGACTTTTCCTGCACTTCTAGATAATTGTACACATACTTAACCTACTGTCTCCCACGAGCTGAAAGCATTTTCATCATTTCAAACGATGAAAAATCAGACCAATTTGTTAATCTGTGTTGTCCATGGAATTTTGTTCATTATTCCATTGATTTTCAACAGCGAACTCGGACGAAAAAGTACACAAAGAATGGGGAATTTTGAGGACATCGAGGTTGCATTTTTTAGCTGTTGTTTGTGTTTTCCAGTGCGTCTGCTAACGGTCTTTAGGGGGGAAACTCTAAACCTAGCTGCAATCAAATTTAGACCAGTGTTGCCCTAAAACCGTGTGGGTCTTCTATACACCCTACTCTATACCATATATATCTATCCTATTACATATTCAAATATGAATATAAAAAATAATACTTTACATATTCAATATATACATATTTACATTTACGAAAAAAAATCATGCACAAATAGGAAAAAAATTATTATAATTGACGTACAAAATACACTCTAAACTCTATGTATACTTATAGACGGACGTATGATTTTATGTCAAGGGAGGTGAATTTGAATTTATAAAATTTTAGGGGATACAAAAACATATTTTCAATAGAAAATACATGATTTTTTAAAAAATATATGATAATTTTAATTTTTAATGGCGACCGCTCCCACCCGCCCTGGCCTAGATCCATCCCTATGTATAATGATATAAGAGTTCATTAATTTTTCTTATTTTTTATTTTATTTCTTTATTAAGAGCGTTGCACTATAGTTTTTAAAATTATAATTTTTTTTATAAAAAAAATACATGCATTTTTCTATAATCTCAGCCGACATGAAAAATATCAGTACAAAATCAATTTTGTTTTGAAAATTCTCATAGTTAAGCTTCCACTAGTTTTGTTGGTCATTCACGAGGTCCATGCACCATTAATTTACATACATACATACGAATGTTGGTCGATGCAGATACTGCCCCACTCGCATTTCCATAACCCTATCCGTTTGATAATGTCTGGCTGCTACATTTTGAAGTATGACACACTCAGGGGTTCATATTAACTTTAGTTTTTCTTCTTTTATACAAAGCAGATCAAATCGAGGACATGTTCTTTCAAAAACACATTATATGTTCATATTTTTTTTTAAAAAAATTATGAAAATAAGTGTTAGTTTGAAATATGTTGAACTTTATACCCCCGGGACACTTTCTGATACTTAGAAATTTCTTTAGTTTATAATTTCTGACGATTTTAACTACTACTCCACCTCATAGAAGAGAAGAATATACATATTAAACTTTGTGGTAGAGTAGTTGCAAATTATTCCTTTGTGCAATTTCACTTGCAAAATTCCACTCCACTGCTGTCTCCTCGAGAATCTTTTCCGCCTGGACTTTTATTAGGTAATCAGCAAAGGCGAGTTTTATTTTGCGATGACATGTTATCATCGAGTTATTAGATTTATGTGAAATTTTTTACAAGAATATCAAGTTAACTGTTTTTTTTTTTTGGCCTTATGGTTCCCAAAGTTTCGTATTGATTAATCTGGATTAACTCTAGTTATACACATGATTTTGATGGACGAGTCTTTTAACAGAGATTTTCTGTAAACACAATGACTTGAACTCAAAATTTGCTAAAACGATACTAAGTTACTTACTATTTAAACCGATTCCGTTGATAATTTATAATGGTAAAGATCTAGTGCATTCCCATAAAGGTCATTAGGTGGATAAAATGATAGGATTTTGTATTGAACATGGCATCACCAAATCTATATCCTACTAACCCAAACCAAGGAACCGCCTCTCATCTCATATTTGTAAACAGTTCAATTGTCCACGTGCCCTAGCTGCCTATGTTTGGCCCATTAACAAATAGTCAATGATAAAATTTAAACGACTTATTCTTTTTCTTAGTTCAAATCGATTTTAAATTTGAGCTTAAATTTTATTTTTTTTAATTCAATCATTATATGTTTAGCGTTTGGCCTAACAATTATGTGTAATAAATTCAAATATCAGGAATTATTTGTTTGTAGTCTGTAAATTAAAAGAGTAAATCTATTCATCGGTTGAATTATTCATTTAGTTTACAAAAATTAAATTTATGTTATCAATTTAAATTAATTAGAACAACGTTTTTACTGTTTTATTACATTTCTTTACCGATAATTCAAATCATCTAGCTGGACTTAAAATAGAAAAGTTAGGTCATGGGTCGTGAGGTGTACAAAGAAGAAAGAGGTTTCAAACTAGAGGAAGTGGATTCTCTATACGGGAAAAAAAAACCCCTAAAGGAAACAAGGACGATAATTTTTTTTATTTCCGTCAATAATAAATTACAATAGGAATATACAAAAGTGTGTTAAAATTTTTAGATTATTCAGGAATTCTGTATCTACTAAAAAATCTTTTAAATTATTTTTTCATAATAATATTTTAACGGACTGTATTAGTGAAAACATGGAAAGCAGGCAGACCAGACACCGATCTAGAAAGAATTTTGAACCAATGACGTCATGTTTCATAGTAGAACATCCCACGATCACACTGTTGTCTACTTTGGCCTCAATTTTGTTTGTTCTATAAATAATACCCCTCCCCTTGCAAAAAAGCAAACCCCACTGCTCTCTTTCTCTCGTACAAGTCCATATCTCCTTTGGCCTAAACCCCCATGTTCAAGATGGAACATAGTGAAACAACTCTGTCCGCCGCTTCTCCGAATTCCTCGAACTCATTGTCCCCTTCCCCTCTTCTGAGTTCCAACCTATCATCTCCATCGGTCGTTATTAGTCCATGTGCCGCGTGCAAGATCTTGAGGAGAAGGTGCGCCGAAAAGTGCGTGTTGGCACCTTATTTTCCTCCGACCGAACCGGCCAAGTTCACCATTGCTCACCGCGTGTTCGGTGCTAGCAACATAATCAAGTTCTTGCAGGTAGTTTAACTTTATCTCAAAACAAATAACATATCTGAATTGTTCCCCGGAAAATATCTCAGTGAGAGTAATGGCTAATTTTTTAGTTTGGAGTGCAAAAATGATAAAGGATTAATTTCATCAAGACATCCTTAAATTATAATTCAAATTTTAAAGTAGTCCTCAAACTTTGAAACATCCTAATTAAGTTTCCAACATACCATTATCATTATCATGTCAATCAAGTCCTTTCGTTATTCTAACTAAATTGATTAATATAAGTTTCAAGTTTAAATCTCAAATACTTGCCATCTCTTTCTCAGGAACTTCCTGAGTCTCAAAGGGCCGATGCGGTAAGCAGCATGGTGTACGAAGCGAGCGCAAGGATTCGAGACCCAATTTACGGTTGTGCCGGGGTAATTAGCCAGTTGCAGAAGCACGTTAACGAGCTTCAAGCACAATTAGCCAAAGCTCAGGCCGAAGTGGTCAACTTGCAGTTGCAGCAAGCGAACCTCGTCGGGGCATTGCTTTGCATGGAGGTGGAACAATCTCCTCAGCTGAATGCCGAGCAACCGGCCGTCGACAACAATTTCGTGGGCGGCCTGCAAAGCTTCCATAGCAACCCCAATTCCATGGAAGACAATTTATGGGAGCCTCTTTGGACATGATTGACGATCGTATATATTAATCAACGGTTTCGTTATGGTCCCATGAAACTCTTCCAAGGAGAAGTTGAAGGACATTAGATTTTTATTATAGAAAAAAGTTATAGATGCTACAACTCTACTGAAATTTAGGGTTAAAAAGCCTAATTTCAAAACTTTAACAAATTTTAGGTCACCAACTATATTATGATTTACTTGAAGATTGATGTTTGATTGCTCCTGGTCAAATAAGCTGGCTTTTGACTGGCTCTTTCATTTAGTTTTTCTCTATTACACTGTTTTGCTATCTCTATGGTACACCAATTAAAATATGGTAATTTTTCCTTACCTAATTTATTCAATCCGATACGATCAAAGTTAATATTTTTAAATTGAGACCAAGATAAGTCAAAATAAAAAATTTCATCAAAATTTTCGAGATCATATTAAATTTTTCATAGTTGAGAAAGGATAAGTCAAGTTTTTTTTTTTTTAAATTTTGAGATTAATTCGAGATCAAGTTATGCTTCTACAATGACGAATTAAAGTCGACTGAATTAAATTAAAATTTTAGACCAGATAAAAGTCGATAATCCTAAAATTTGAGTTGGGGTCCTAGTACCCAAAAAAATTCAACCCGTTTTCTCTAGTTATAATCCTTCACATTTCAGAAGGCATTGATGAGCGATGTCGAGACCCAACACGTATTATAATTTATATTATGTTTCTAAGTGTATTTTATGGGTAAACTACACATTTAGTATCTAAACTATCAGTACTAGTTCATTTTACTACTTAAACTTTTAATTTTTTTTAAAATCATATATAGCGTTTAGTTTTTGTTTCATTTTAGTATTCGTAGTTGAAAACTTAACTCATTTAATACATAAACTATCAGTTTTGATCTGTTTTACTATTTAGACTTTCATTTTTTTGTTCAAAATTTAACACTATATTTCGAACACGGGTACTAAAATGAAACAAAAAGTAAATGTTAGGCATGATTTTGAAAAAGATGAAAGTTTAGGTACTAAAACGGATCAAAATAAACAGTTTAAGTACTAAAAGCATAATTTACCGTTATCTTATTGATTTCAAAATTTTATTTTTGAAAGTATTTGTACTTCCATGGTAAAAAAATTATAATAATATCATACGGATCAAATTAATATTTAATTATTTCATAATTTATGGGGAATAGATAAGGTGATAGCATGACAAGAATGGAATTATCTTATCTGCAGGTTCAGGCTCACCTTTGTTAATTGGTAGAATTTCAGTTGTAAGCCCCCTTGATAATTGATAATACTAAGAATTAAAAATCTAAGACCTAATTCCAATTGATAATACTAAGATGTTTTTAATGTCTGCGGAGCATTTTAATAGTCATGGAGGAAAAAGAGATGAAGTATTTACATACTAAAAAACAGTGGTAGTTTCAAAGCTAATGGTTTGATTTTGGAATGTTGTTTTCTTATACAATTCAAATCATGTGCCTACACCCAGACTTGTCGTTTTTTTTTTTCTGTCATGATAAAGACAATATTTTCTATTGGAATATTATTTTTGAATTAAATTAAACGGACTTCGAGCTATAAATTTTATTAAAAAAGAAGTAATTTGGATAATCTTAAAAGGCTGGGCAGATGACTGTGGAAAAACATGTGCATTGTTGCTTAAATTCAGTTCATCGTGTGAAATGATAAGCGACGAGGATCTCATGTTGCATTGCATTTGGTCCGTTTTTATAGCTTAACAACGACAGCCACGTTGGTACCAATTTCTTCCCATCCATCAATCTTATAGAAGTTTGATTTTTCTTCCTTTCCCAATTTGGATAAGCTATCACTTTGTCAAAATAGTTATGTTTTGTCATGATTAGTTGAATCTGATTCAAAAAATTTATTATACTTTGAAGACCAAGATAACTCAATTCAATCCTTTTACAATATCAACATTTAAAAACTCTTAATATTAATTAACAAACAAAGTCTCATCCTCCAACATATATTTTGTGATAAAATAATATATTTAATAAATAAATATTGTCATAGATTTAAAATTTAAAAATAGGCCCACATTTTGAGTAATAAAAAATTAGTATGCGTCGAAGCTATGTCCATAAATAAATTCAGATGAACCATTCCCAATGTACCAAAAGCTTCACAAACGAGTTAAACAACAGCTCAGCAACCTGCATCCAGTAGATTACACCTTTTGCAAAGCCAGAAACAGAGGAGACCGAAATTGATATAACCCATGACTATGTTACTCCTTCCAACTCTTCGATAAGTATGCATATCCGACGTCCATGTCGATCGCATGAGTGTGGAATATGGTCCTTCAAAGACCCTCCAAATACGTCAAAGAAAAATGTTAACGAGCCCGTCTTGAAAACATAATCATATCCCAAGTAACATTAGTTCCGAGCCATTGAAACTACCTGGTAAAGGCACACATATATGCTATCATGATCTTCGGCTAAAAATGTTCGACCAAAAAACACAAAAGAAGGTTCACATATATCAAGTCATTAAATCCTTGAAGTAAATGTACCACCCACGGATGACAGAACTTGACGAATTGTAAATTAAATCACTGCAGGCTGTATTACTCCGATTCTTCAATTTTCTTGAAGTACATGTATTTCACACTCGTGTCTGATTCAAAAGATGAAAGACGCCGGAGTCAGACACGTATTTGCATTACACACATAATAGTATCCAACAGGGGCAACCATGTCCGAGTAACATAGGCTGCAGCGTATCTTCAAAACAGGGGAAAAAGAAATGGTTCAACAACTGTTTTCCAGAGCAAATGTTTCATTCCTAACATTTTAGTATGAAACTATCTCAGCCAACCCATATGTCGAGAAAGGGAAAATGACACTAAAAGCCAAAGATATTTAGGAGTAAAGCGTTTCAAAAGATTTTCAAATGCAGCATTGATTGTTGATAAAGATAATGCAGCATCAAAGCTTGAACTATAGTATTCTTCGATCCTAAACCATATATGGTAACATCAAGACAATGCTTTCGAATCTTTTTATCAACTATGTCACCCTAATATTAGTTCAACGTCAAGACAATGCATATTCTAATGGTTGGATTGAATAAATGCTTACAAAATAATCATTTACGCATATTAGAGCATAAAATATTATGAGCAAATGTTAAGACTTTTTTATGCTATACCTGATCTGGCTTCTATTGTTTCAATCCCCAAAGTCATCCTGCATTGCATATAGAAGTTTCTGATAAGTATGCCCGTCGACAAGATCTTTGTTTTGCAATTCTTTTAACAACCCCATGGCTTCCTCAACCCTTCCTCTTCTGCATATCTCATCCAAGATCATTCTGTATGTTATTAAATCGGCAGACTTGTGTATTTCAATCATCTCTCTTTGATAACGCACTGCTTCCTCGACCTCTCCAGCTATTGCCAAAGCATTCACAAGGGAGTTATACGATTTTCCGCTAGGAGTAAACCCGTTTTTCTTCATTTCATCGCACAACTCCCTAGCATTATTTGTTCTACCTTGCGCACATAACCGTAAATCAAATAATCATAGGAATAATCATTGGGTAGGCACTTGTAAACGACGCCCATCTGGTCAAACACTCGCAGAGCATCATTGACATGAAGCGAAAGTACGTACCCTTTTATCATAGAATTCAATGAAAAAATATCCGGTTCTATCCCATCATCGACCATTTGCCTAAACAAACACCTAATAGTCCCCATGTACACATGGTTTATATAAGAATCTCTTCCCCTACTCAGCATCGCGATGAAAAGAATGTTATACGTTCTAACAGATGGCCTGCAATCGAGTTTAAGATTGTTCCTCATATGCTTAAATATATTCACAGCTCTACTCAACTTCCTAGCTTCCGTAAGAAGTAAATGATGGTATTATAAAGAGGCTCGTAACCGAACGAACGAAGCGCAAGCACTTGTTTAAAGACAACATCCATTTCTTCATACATTTTAGCAACACCGAGCTTCTTTATGGTAATATGATAACTGGAAACTTCGTGTCGGAACAGAGGCTGCTGAGCCGCCCAATTGAATAACTCCCAACATACTAAATTAAAGGATCTTGTTCTAGAGTTATGACATTGAAAAGCTCTTCAGCAGTGAATCTAGGTGGGAGCTGTGAAATGGCATTGTGAAATTTAGCTTGGTCAAGGACTGGTTTCTTAGCAGCTTTTAATCTCTTATTGTTTCTTCGTCTAAAGGATCTAGACCGGGCTTGAGTCGAGAAAAAAGAACATAAAAGCGTGCTATGGAATTGGTGTGAAATTACATAGAATGATGAGTCAATCTGGGTGAAGCCAAAAGGGAATTGTTTAGGCAGATAACCATAAAAACCAGAGTATTCATAGTACTAAATTGCGGCCACAACGCAGCGTAACGCCTGCATCGTAACGCCTGCATCGTAACGTTTTTTAAGGTTATCGCGATGCAATATCGGTGCAACTCGATAAGGGAATCGCATCACGATTGTTGCGGTCAAAAACCGTTACGTAACATCGCAACACGTTATAAATTGCGCCGCAACACCGCAACAAACTTTAAATTATCTAAAATATAAAATTACATATATGATTTGTTTTAATTTAATTCTTAAAACTGAATTATAAATATATATCATTTATAATATCGTAATAGTTATTTTTAAAATTAATTACTTAAATTTGAATTAATTAAAATATTTATTAACATTATTTTAAAATTAAATTAATTTAAATTATCTCATATCTAAAATTGACGTGATTCATTTTAAATTAAATTTTTATATTAACATTAAGTATAATAATTATATGTTTATTTAATATTATATAAATTTTGTATAAGAGATGAATTCAATTTATAATACTATAATAATTTTTGCATTTTATCTATTTACTATGATACTATAAAACTTTATCTAATCTATTTACTATAAAATGTTATCATACAACATGTTTTCTACCAATGATGCATCTTATGATGCACATAATGTGATGTCTTCTTCACATGAAATAGGAATGAATCAAAACCAAGACAATGACGAAGATATAAATGTCTTAGATCCACTACACCATTCATTTTGGTGGTGACCCATAAGATATAAAATTTTTATATTTGTAGTTATGTATTTTTTTATTTCTAAGTTATATAAAATGAACATTTTTATATTAAAATATAAAAAGTTTGATATGATTTTAGTGATATTGTTTATATGTTATTCAGTAATATTATTATAATTGTTATACCTATTATCCAGTATGATAACACTTCTATGATTTATATTTGTTTTTAATAAATTTTTATTTATGAAATTAAATTTTTATTTTTAAAATAAAATATTAAAAGGGTATATTAATATTAGTATATTAAAAGATAATTTTAAAATGTATAAATATAATATTTTAGACGTATTGTGATTTTTGATGAAGAGATTATATCCGTGATAACTGCAACACGTTACGTAACGTCCGTAGTATCCACAATAAAATCTGCAACCTCAATTTGATACTAAGATAATATTACAAAGATGGTGGAAAGGGTTCGTGTTGAAAGCATTTCTCGAGCAATATCTACGAATAGCAACATATTACTGTTCATCAAATGAAATTGCAGCTGGATATGAAGCACAAAAAAGATGATTTTCAGTTTGTTTCTCGGGAAATTGACATGGAATATAGAGACAAAGGGAGATGGGTGTTGAGAATCTAACATCAAGACATGTCGGAGCAGAGACAAAGTAGTCGAAGCTGAACAGTGAGCAGCGAAACTCAAAAGCTTCAATTGTGGAAGACTGAAACATTCGCGGGTTATTTTTCAACTAGTCAAAACCCAATCCACGATTTTCTTTAGGCCTACATAGTACATCAATATGTAATTCCGATCCGTCCCAGTAATCATCATTTTTTGTATTAAACTAAAATTATTATAAAATAATATATATTTTAAATATTTTAAATCATTCGATAATAAATGTTTAATTATTTTATTATAATTATTAATATTAAAATATATGATGTTTAAAAATAATAATGATTGTCACATTTTTTTTAAATAGAGGAAACAGTAATAAACAAATATTTGTTTTTAATATCTACACCAAACTTGTCCCGACCCGGCCACACAACCGCCGATCATTGTCAACGCATTTACGGGTTTTGTCCAAACGCCCTCTTCTAATTCATCCTCGAAGGCCAATCAGAAAAACCACTTTTTTACTAATCAATTTGCTGATTTTCCCATTTCGATTTTGAAAAGAAGAAAATGAAACAGTTTCCGGGATTCACAGTTCAAATTATTGTCAGTATAGGGATTTTTCAAATTCTCGATCAAACTTTTCGAATTTGATTTCACTTTTTTACTCCTTGTTGCAGCCACGGAGGTTCCTTCTTCGTCTTTCGTAGTGGTTCGTCATTTTAACTGAAAGAAATCAAATTCAAATGAAGCATTTTTAATTAACTTATTTTTTGTTTGGGGGGAGAAAAAAAAGGTCAACGTATTAAAAAAACTGGAGTCTTAGCTATGTTGGGTGAGAATCGCTGTGGGTTTAAAGTTGAAAGCTGTTTCTTTCATTTGGCTGAATGGCATCCTTTGCCATAGCATAGCTGATTAGGGAACCAAGCCCCTTTTATCTCTCGTTAAAATCAGGTAATTGGATTTGGTTTTCGCTGTAAATTATGTTAGGTATTTGTTCCACTGTTTCGAATGCTAGCGAAAATAAGAATCGTATAGAGCCTAAGTTGATAGCTAATCTCGTATCTAATTCTTGATTTTTAATACTTTTGAAATGATCAAATTAAAAAAAAAAATTAATTGAAAATTACGTAAATTTGTTTTTTGAATGAAACAATTATGTTTTTAGCTGCATGTAGTATATGGATGTGTATAAGTTTATCTTAATCTAAAATTTCCGTAGGTAAATCTGTGATAAGTCATAGGCTGTCCATTGACCTAATCTTATGCTCACTTTTCCAGGCTTAAGGTTTTCTGTTCATCATTCCGAGACTTGGTAGCAGCAATTTACTACTTTCAATGTTTTGAGTGTTCAAATGTTTAGTAAGGGCGTTTCATTTGCTAGAGCAATGGGTTGTTGTGGGTGCTTCGGCTTTGGATTCGGCTTCACAGCAAAGCCCAGAAACATACCAAGACCCAATTGTAGATCGAACTTTCAAATTTCCCAGGAGCATCTGTTAGATGAAGAGAAATAGAAGAAGACGATGATTATTTATATAACACTAACAGCGAGGTTACCGACACTGCTCATGGAGATGAGGTTGAGTCTACGAGCCGTGCGAAGCACTCTGAAGAAATTTTGAGGTTCAAACTTGACAATGGCTTGATTTGCAGGCAGTCCCCTGTGAAGGAAACCAACAAAATTGTCCGGTCAGAGGTAAGTGTAGAAAAGAATTAGTATAACTCCATTAATTTTTACTATTTTATGACGTACGGTTTATCTCTACTGTTGGTGCTGCATAATTGTTAGTACGCTACTATCTGTATCAACTTACAAATTGTAAATATTCATGGAATAGGTAGGTGACTTGTCACTTTACCAACAGTAATGTTGTTTTCATGATGCGCTTTAGCATTTGTGATGTATTTTGTGCTTCTTATTATGGAATTACACCAGTATTCTTCATTGCGTTGTATTTTTCCCCTTCTGCTAGTTTATTTTTTATTCTCGACTTCGTTATCAGGATGAGAACGGGAATAAGATGATTAATGAGTATGTGAGGGAATACAAGATTGGTTCTGGTAGCTATGGAAAAGTGGTAAGGATATCATTGTAAGACATTATGTTACATAATTTGCTTTAAGGATTCAAAGTTTACCTATTTTGATTGCTTGCTTGTTAGGTTCTATATCGAAACAGTGTAGATGGGAAACACTATGCCATTAAGGTTAGTATATTGTTTCAATACTAAGTGTTCCATTTGAGGGTAAAAATGGAATTAACTACTCAATGAGTTTTTAAGGCACTTTGGTGTTGAATTTACATGGTTACTTTCAGGCCCCACTTGGAATGTATGAAGGCGATTTAATGCCGAGTTTACTTGGTTACTTTCAGGCTCCACTTGGAGTTGCATTATTGTTTACTAGAAACTAGAAACTTTTAAAATTAAAGAAACTTTTTATATTTTAATTATGTCCTTATAGGTTACATGATATTTGATGTTTTCTGGATCTGTTACAATTTTATGCCTAATTATGGTTTCACCTTGTAATTATGGGTTATTTTTATATTTAAATCCTAGGCCTTTCATAAGTCTCAGTTGTCAAAGCTGCGGGTTGCTCCTACAGAGACAGCAATGAGTGATGTTCTTCGCGAGGTATTGGCTTGCTATTCTTTTTTTTTCCTCTCTGATATAATCACTCATATATACGATGGATCAGACTCTGCAGTTAATTCAAAGGTCTGGGAGCTCATGAACTATGTCATCGGTTTACTCTTTTGTTCTTATTCTGATTTGGCTCTCTTCTCAGTTTTAGAGGCTTTTATCCTTCCTCATTTTTGCTTTAAATAAACTGGAAATACCTCAGGTCTCCATCCCTTTATTTCGAAAAAAAAACTAAGTCTTTAATGGAACAAAACACTTGACTTATTGTTGGAACGTGTTGCCACTGGTATTTTTCCATTCGCAGTGATGAGGGAAAACAAGAAAATTTGTAATGCTATGTAGTTAATTTCTTTTAGGAAAGAGAGGCGTTGGAAGAATTTTAAGGACTCTACCTTTTGTGGAGAGAGCTGCCTTAATTTCTACCTTTTACATGAGTACATTTTATTTTGGACGAGTGCCCATTTTTATCTGATCCACTTCCCTTGTAGGTTCTTATTATGAAAGTGTTGGAACATCCCAATATAGTGAATCTCATTGAGGTGATGGATGACCCAAGCATGGATCAATTCTACATGGGTATATATATTAACTTTTGACCTAATGGTGTGTTTAAACAAGTAATTGAGTTACTCTCATTATTGACTGCCTGTCCCTTTCTCTTTGTCCAGTTCTTGTGTATGTGGAAAGCAAATGGGTTTGCGATGATTCTGGACCTCCAGGAAGGCTTGGTGAAGATACTGCTAGGAAGTATGTGCGAGATATAGTATCTGGACTTATGTACCTCCATGATCATGTATGATTTAAGAACCAACTTTTGTGAATGGTTTCATTTTTTTTTTGCATTCATTTTTCAGTTCTCTATGATTGTGCTTTTTGTTTGATATGTCCAATTAAGTACTTGGTTAGATAAAGGGATAAAGCAACTTTTAGTCCCTGAACTTGACAACTTTCTCAACTTGGTTCATTATCTTTTTTTGGTCCGCGTTGGTCTCTAAACTTGGATTTTGGATCTTTTTTTAATCCTTCTAATGATGTGGCACTCAAACTAAAATGGGAAAAGTTGTCAAGTTCAAGGACTAAAAGTTTCTTTATCCCTTGGATAAACATGATAAAGCTTACTCTGAACATATGTAGAGAAGACTAATTTGTTTTCTTATTGTCTTGCTTTTTCTTTCCATGTATCTTCATGCAAACAAAACCATGGTCGTTGAAGGAGCAATATTCCTAAAGAAGAAAGTTTGCCAGTTCTTTTTATCTATGATATATATATATATGTGTGTGTGTGCTTGTTTGATACCTTGCTTTTCGATGTTCTGATGATGAAGGCTTTTGATGTTGGAGTTTGATTTGTTTACCCTTCTTATTACGGTGATGGGAGTTTGCACATTCTCCCATGAATTTATGTTTTATGGGGAACATCTTGTTTGTAGATAATAAAATCATATGTTACTTGTTAACTTGCTAGTTTACTGTGTTAACTCGTGTGGTTTCTTCTAAAACAGAATATTGTGCATGGAGATATAAAACCTGACAATTTGTTGATTACTAGCACGGGTACGGTGAAGATAGGGGATTTCAGTGTCAGCCAGGTGTTTGAGGTAATTGTTCTACCTCACCCGTAAATTCCTTCAAAGTATGACTTGAATGAGAGTATTATACTGAAATTGTCTCTTGTCCGAACCTCCTTTTTTATCTTCTGCTTTTGTACTGTTTATCATTTGAATTATAATTATGTGAATCACAAATTCTGTTAATTGACAATTTTCTTTGGACAAGAATTAGTGCAGAAGTGTGGTGTGCACTTACATTTAGTATAAGTTTGAATGGATAAGACTCAAAAAGACTTGCTTGAAGTTTTCTAGCATAACATTATCCCTGATAGTTTCCATTCTCTTCCCCCCCCAATTTTAATATGTTTTCTCTTACCTTTGAACTTTGAAATGTTGTTTTGTTCTCGGTGGAATTAATTACTGTTTCTGCAAAATCATTTTATTTCTTTAGGACGACAATGATGAGCTTCGCCGTTCTCCTGGGACTCCTGTATTTACTGCGCCCGAGTGTTGTCTAGGTTAGTGTTTCCTCTGTTAGCTGAAACTAGGCTTTAGTATCGAGGAGATAGATAGAGAACATAATTTATGTTTGTTTTTACCATGCCCGAGATCAATCAACAGGTTCAACGTATCACGGAAGAGTTGCAGACACTTGGGCTGTAGGAGTTACTTTGTACTGCATGGTACTTGGAAAATATCCGTTTCTTGGTGAAACACTCCAGGATACCTATGACAAGGTACGTAATGGCATCCGTACGTTATCTCTCTTTTACCTTTTTATCTTTCCCGCAGCCTACGGTAACATTGTTCATTTTCTTTCTGCAGATTGTTCATAACCCTTTATTCCTTCCAAATAAAATGAACCCGGAGTTGAGGAACTTACTAGAAGGACTTCTCTGCAAAGGTTAGTGAAATATTTCTTTCTGAGACAATGTTTATCGATTGCCCCTACCATCGATTTATCCCCGGACTTTGCTCTCCTTGGTGATCTTGAAAACGTTGACCCTTTTGTTTTCCAGACCCGAAAGAGAGAATATCTTTGAATGCTGTAGCCAAACATCCCTGGGTTATCGGAAAAGATGGACCGATCCCTCAGTACATATGTTGGTGTAAACGTAATAATAGCCATTCCGAGGGCCAGATCTAATACAAGAAGTGATACACAATGGTAACTAGATTATCATCTGGTTTTTGACAATTCGCTGCACAGTTGAAAAAAACAGCTTGCGCCTCCGTTTTCACCCGTTTACTCCCTTTCAGTGCATGCACCAGAGACGCATACGTTAACTAAGACTCGAAGCAAAACTTTGTGGTATACATTAAGATTAGGGTTGAGTGAAAAAAAACCGAGACCCCATCGGCCATTTCGGACATTAGTTTTTAGCTCGGTTTTTGTGCAGGGAGTGAGTTGTGAGATTTGTTATGATAGCTTTGGGTTAGAAGGTTATCCTGATTCCAGTGTACCAAATACTTTGCGATTGACATTGTTATTCTCTTATGTTTCTCGGCTGTGAATTGATTGTATATATACATTATCCAAGGCTTGAGGAGATTTTGCATTTTCTTCCTTCAAAAATAACTATGAACAAAAAATATAATTTGGGTTAAATATCCTCAAACTAGACTTATATCTTACATTGATATTTAAATTTTAAAATATTTCAGTTTAATCCTCCATTCTATTAGTAATAATAATATAGTACCATAAAATGTTACATTATTTTATTTGGTAAATTATTAAAAATAAATACATATGATCATATTGTACACATTTAGCATCGAGATTATGATAAAGTAGAGCTTGATGTGTCATCCGATGCTAAACCGGCCTAACTTAAAAAACACAATACAAAGAAGTTACAACAAAACTTTTCTTCAGGAATTCAACCACCAAGGCCATGCCCTTGCAAATATCATGTTTTTCCCAGTTGTATACTGTCATGATCAGCATGTAAAAATTACCAGCTTCATCTCTGTTTTCTGCTCTGTAGGTTGTTCTTGCCTGATATGTAACACCAAAAGAGTTATTCATCATCAGTATTTAATTTATGACTCACTTTCAAGATTCTTGCACTATCTATTTAAAATATTTACATGCGTGTGTGTGTCACATATATATATATATATATATATGTTATCCCGACTCTTCATTTTTGTGTATAGTCCTCTTGTCTGGCACGTTCAGATATGGATATAGGGTTTGATTCTCCAAATAAATGTAGAAAGCAAGGATATTGAAGCAAGTGAATACCAAACATGAAAGAAGAAATGAGTCGGTATCAAGGATTCTGTTCAATGTTGCCTAGTTTAGATTAGATGCCTTAGGAGACGATTGAAGCTATTGAACAATATGACTCTCACTTGAAACCTCCAAGCTACCCTGATTTGAGAGTTTCAAGGCTTAACAAATGTTGGCATATGCAAATGAAATGTTCAAGGGTCATAAGGAGTCCAGTGAAGTACCGGGGAGTGGGGGTTCTAATATGTCATTTTGTTGCCGGTATAAGAGGCCGGAATTCGATGAAATTTTGGGTGATAAGAGGCCAAACTATAAGTATTGTACGTTTGCTTTTGTGTACTTTGCAAGCAGAGAGGATCTGCTTTATGCAAAGGATAGGATGAACAATGTATTAATTGATGGGAGGAAGATTGCGGTGTCGATTGCGAAGTATTAGAGGAAGAGTTTTTCGAGGAGTTCGGAGCGTATTAGCGTGGTGGGGGCAAAGAGTGCAGGATCAGAGGAGCATCCTGGAAGAAGTTCAAAATCTAGAGTAGATGATGGTGGGAAGAAGTTGATGAACAAGCTTTATGATGGGAGGTCATATAAGGATACGGTTTTGGGAGTTAAGAGAGCTGAGGGCCCGAAGGGAGGTAGTTATGGAGATAATATGGAGGTGAAGAAACCGCTGGAAGTTTTCATTCCAATGGAGGAAAGTTCTTGGTTGAAATCGTCTTTAACATGAATTTGTAAGGTGATTTTTGAAGTCGAGTTCGTGCAGAGGGCGTTAAGAACTGATGGAATCAATGCCAAGGTGGTCTTTTGGGGTCATGCAAATAATGCATGTTTAGTTGTTCCTTATCCTTATGGTTTGATAGGTTAGAACCTGTCTTGGACGAGAATAATGTTCCTTTAATGTTCTGTTCGGTTTCTTTGATTAGTGTTCCTTTAAACTGCTGGTCAGTTTCTTTTTTCACAAGTTTGGCTTTGAGGTAGGGCAATCTAGTGATGATTCAGGAACATTTTGTTCAGAGATTGGATTGCAGAGTGGCTCGCATGCTGTTAAGGGTTGCAAGCCCGTTTGATATACCTCCCCAGGTCTCTATTACTACGTTTGGTAGGCCGTTTACTGTAAAAATTAAGGTGGAAGGTAGCGATGATTTTTTCCCGGTGTTAGACGATGTGGCTGAAGAAGACGGTACAGCGGTTCCTTGGGTGGAAAACTCACCGGACAGGAGCCAAGGGGATGACGTCGAAGGGCAAGATGGGATTATGGGTAGTCAGAGAATGTCAGGCTTTCAGAACAGAGTGGAAACATGGGTTCGGGAATCTCCATGTGAGGGTGGCACGATTGACAATGGGTGTGTCATGGAGAAAGCAGATTTTTTAAGTCGTGGGGCTATTAATTTATGTTCGGTGGAGACAGTTTCAGGTGGAGATCCAGGTCAGCAGGAAATGTTGGGGACTTTATTGATGGAAGTGAAAGGGGCTTGAGCAAGGCTGTTGTTTCCTTGGGGCAGAAAAAATAGGAGGTGTTCTTCTTCTCCTCCTATTATTCGAAGACGTCCAAAATTTGCTGGTACCATCTTTTGCGATAGAGTGTATGGTAGGTCTTATAAGAAAAGTAAAACAGGCGATTCGGAGAAGGGACTTTCTGTAGTTGATTTTTCGCTAGAGAATGAGGAACTGGATTTTACTTGGGAGGTCAGCAAAGTGCTGAGTGTTCATTTAAGGGGGGAGGACGGCTTTTGCTGAAAAGTTTTTGGACTCGAGGCGTGAGGAGGGTGAGATTTGATTTTACCTCTCTGCCATAGGTGATTATTTTGTTCTCATTTATGGTAGCTATTGCTTGTGTTACTTGGAATGTTAGGGGTTTAGGGAATAAGGAAAAAGCTACCGCAGTTAAAAAGGTGGTTCTGAGTAAAAAACCTACGTTTCTTTTTCTGCAAGAAACGAAGTTGGAGGTAGTAAACCAGTTGATGAGAAGGAAGTTGGGGGGCAAATTTCTAGGGGGCTATGCTGAGTCTCCGGCTGAGGGAGCATCAGTAGGAATTCTCACTTTATGGGATGAGACTTTGTTTCTTCCTCGATCGCAAAAAATTTCTTCCAGATTTGTAGCCCTAAAAGGTTTAGTCAAGTTGAATGTTGCTTTATCAATGTGTATGGACCTTCTGTTGAATCGGAAAAAGAGTCTTTTTTTGAGGAATTAATTAGTTATATTTCGACTTTGGATTGTCCTTTATGTGTAGTAGGAGATTTTAATGCTCACCTATCACAAGATGAGAAGATGGGAAAATCACTGAATGAAAATTCGATCATTTTGTTCAGGGATTTTCTGTTCCAAGCAGAGTTATTGGATCTTCCTTTGGTTGGAGGGAGGTTCACTTGGGGTAACAATAGGGATGATCCTACTTTTGTGAGGCTGGACAGATTTTTAGTATCCAACAATTTCCTTAATATTTTCCCGGATGTTGTTCAGATACTAATTCCAAAATCTCTTTCGGATCATAATGCTGTGGCGTTGGAATCCAGTAAGTTAAACTGGGGTCCGAAACCTTTCAGACTTTTCAATTACATCATGGAGGAGGGATTTAAAGAAGTTGTTGAAGGGAAAATTTCAATTTTGAAGAGGACGAAGAGGCCGAGCATTGAAGTGTTACTTAAAGAAACTAAGGATGTGATCAAAAAATGGTCTAATGAAAGCATAATGAAGTTGCCAAGCTTGATCGACAGTAAGGAGAGGTTAATTTCGAACCAAGAAGCTCTAATTCAACAGAGTAATCCGTTAGTCTCAATGGGGGATATTGCAAAAGAAAATCAGAATATGGTCTTTAAATGAAAGCATAATGAAGTTGCCAAGCTTGATCGACAGTAAGGAGAGGTTAATTTCGAACCAAGAAGCTCTAATTCAACAGAGTAATCCGTTAGTCTCAATGGGGGATATTGCAAAAGAAAAATCAGAACTATGGTCTTTATAAGGAAAGGAAGAGTTATCCTAGTTCCAAAAATCTAGGGCAAATTGGATTCAAGATGGAGATCGGAATTCAAGGTATTTTCACCAATGTGCCACTAACAGAGGGAGGATCAATGCCATCAATTCTTTGGATGTGGGAGGTGCTATGATTGAGGATCCAAGTATGATCAAAGCTTTCATTTTTGGTTTCTTCAAGGATGCTTACAATGCCAAGCTAACGGTTGAGGTGGAGAAGTTGGATTTGAATTTTAACAGACTTAAGGAGGATCATGTTGCACTTTTAGATAGGAATTTCACTGAGGAGGTAATTTGGGAGGCAATAGGGTCATCGGAAAGTAATAAAGCTCCGGGTTCGGATGGTTTGAATATGAGATTTTTCAAGAAATTTTGGCCGGTTTTGAAAGAAGATATTCTGAAGTGCTTCAAAGATTTCTATGATGGAAAGAAATTCGGTAAACCATTCATTTATTACTCTAATTCCTAAGAAGTCGAATCCGGTCAGTATTGAAGATTTCAGCCCTATAAGTTTGGTAGGGGGTATACAAAATCTTGTCTAAAGTGCTATCAAGAAGATTAAGAATGTGCATTGGAGGGTTGATCGGTCACTCTCAATTCGCTTTCATCCCGGGAAGGCAGATTTGTGCTTGTTCTTTAGTAGCTAATGAAGCCATTGACTATTGGAGGAGGAAAGGTAGGGAAGGTATTGTGTTCAATGTGGATTTCAAGAGAAATTATGATACTGTGGCTTGGGGTATCTTATTACAAATTATGGAGTGTATGGGGTTTAGTCAAAGATGGAAATCCTGGATTTTTAGATGCTTGAATTCGACTACAATTTTTGTGCTTGTTAATGGTTCTCCTACACCAAGCTTTAAAGTTGCCAGGGGGTTAAGACAAGGTTGTTCTTTGTCCCCACTTTTGTTTAATTTGGTGGGTGAATTTTTGAATCTACTGCTCTCTAAAGCAGTTGAGGTGGGGCTGTTTGATGGTTTTCAGATTGGTGGTGAGCTGTCCTCAGTTTTGCTATCGCATCTTCAATTTGCCGATGACTTTATAATTTTTTGCAAAGCCTCTAAAGGTCAATTGAAAAATTTAAAGAGGGTTTTGACAGTTTTTGAGCTTTGTACAGGGCTGAAGTTGAATTTGCTGAAGAGTAGGATTTTCGGTATTAACTTACAGGATCAAACTGTCGAGAATTGTGCCACCTCTATAGGTTGTGTTCCAGGATCTTTTCCGGCGGAGTATCTAGGGCTACCTTTGGGAGCAAGGAGAAATTCGATTAACCTGTGGGATCCGTTTGTTAATAAATTCTACCAGAAACTTGCAAGCTGGAAATCTGGTTCTTTATCCCTTACAGGTAGGGCAGT